GTAAGCGGTCCAGTAACGCCAAACACATGGAACCAGCTTCGAGGCGCTGCTCATCCGTTACAAACTCGTTGTCCGACCGGCGCAGTGGAAACCGGGGAAACTTCTTGGCGTCCAACTTGAACTTTGTTTTCGAACCACGCCAAACTCCAGGAGACGAGGCGCCGAATACAAACACAGGGCATTTAAACACCCTGGACAACTCAACAAAATAGGACTTCAGCCTTTCATAAAAGGTGAAGAACAAGTTGATACGGCTGGGACCGGTCACCGTGCACAATCAGTTCCAGAAATACATACCTGGTAGATATCATGCGGCAAATCCTTGGTGAGATGCGTGAAGTCAAAGGCGGGGAAAATATCATCTCCGCCGCCGCCAACACGGGTCAAAAAGGCGTCCCGTGTGATGGTCCAAGGACAAATTAGAGAGTCGCCAAACAATCCCACTTGGGCCACTCCAGGACGACCCTTGTTCTTCTCCCCACGAACAGGCCGACGAATATGATGGTACTCCAGGTCTTGAACTGCGGTACCCGGCGTAGGGACATGTTGTACCCGAAACTTCGGGACCACACTTTCAGTGATCCTCATTCGACGACCAACGTTGGAGATGTATGACTCAAAATCCTCGGGGTCATACTCCCACCAGCCTCGTACTCGCCGACCTGGTGTCAAAGAATAACAGGACATATACAAACAGATGTATCTCCAAAACCATTTTTTCTAAAAAACTTATGGAAGGAGGAAAAAATCTTCATCAAAGGCGCTCCAGACGCCAGTGTCAAAACAGCCGGATCCTCCCCGGCAAAAACATCTTGGTCTACTTCCATGACGGAAGGAGCCCGACTTGCCTCTTTGTGACCAGTTGAAGGCGCCTGGCTTGAAGCTGACAAAGAGCGAGCTCGTGCGCCCATTTCTCCACACTTAAGCAATACTGCTTGTAAAGCAGACATGCTCACTGGATCTGGTCCAGGAGACACAGCGGCCGGTGCTGGCGCACGACCCAAAGTACTCTCAGCAAGCCAGAGCTGACGAAGATCCGGCACAGTTCCAAACAAAAAGGACAAAGGCGGCGTCCCAGCAATGTCATAAATTTTGACACCACCTAATTTTCAAACAAATCCAAACAAAACCCAACTGATACAAAAATGTATAAATACATTATGTCGAGGTCATACATACCATTCATTTCACCACGACTCTGAGGAACGGGAAACATCAACCGTCCTCCGTTCACGAACACTGATTGAAGACGTGTCTCGTCCACAGCCAAACGAGCATCAAAAGCCTCTTTTAGGCAGGCCTCGGTTGCCGCCTTCAAGGCGTAGCTCTGCTTAATCCGATTTTCATCGGCTGCAATTTGCTTGCCAAGTTCCTGGCATTCTGCATCGACGACTGTGGCGCGATCACGCATAGACTGCAATTTGGCTTCGGCCAACTCCAGTTCTTCCTCCTTGGTCGCAGCATCTCTCTCTGCGCCACGACGCGTGACTTAGGTGCACGCCGCCATATCAACCGCCGGAACAAACAAGTGTAAACGACGCCAACAATCCAGGTCCAACTGTGACAAAGATGGGACCAAGTCTTCGCCGCCCTTGGGCAGCACAAGCACGCGGGGATTGTCGATCCGACGTTGTTTGGACGACGAAGGTCCAGCAACCACTTCCTCTTCTAGCGGACCATTGCCCTCGTCAGAAATGCCGCTACTCAGCTTGGCACCCTCTGCAAAAAATAAATAACAGGCAAAAATATGAAAAACAGTGTCAATAGTGTCTCATTTGGGGCACCATAAATGTTTCTTTTCTCACCTCTATCAATGGAATCAGCGTCGCTCATTTCTTGGAGTGTCCGCTTCATTCAAACCACTTCAAACAAACAATGAGATCTGCGGACAGAAACAATTCAGTGTCAGAACATGGTGCATAACGAAGGAGGATACGAACAACAATCCCCAACATGCTATGCACAATACCCGGTCATTACCAGGACAAGGAGAGGTCATTCCTCCCTTCAGAAACAAAACAACAAATCAACCAAACCACGAGGGACATTCTCACTCAATACACACTTGTTGCGACACCCCAAAAATGAAAAAATGGGTGAGAACCGAGGTCATTCCTCAGTTTGATCGCCCGCAAAATTGGTCTAACCAACCGAACAAGAGGAGGTCATTCCTCCCTTGTCTGCGAAGGCGTGTGTTGGTCAATACCGATTTATGGGAGATGAATTAATCCTCCCCACACGCATTGATCGGATTGCCAAACCCAGAGACGACATCCCTCTCGGGAGGACCGGTCAATACCGATCCCAGAGTGTTCATCCCTCTGGGCGGATTCAGTATCAAACAATCATCAAACAACAAAAAGAAGGGGTCAACAATCCCCCCTCTCCTTCGGGAAACATTTCAATATGCAAAAAATCATCTGCGGACTTCGGTCTGTCACCGTCAGCAACGGAGGTCATTCCTCCCTTGCCCGCAGATGGCATGCGAATCGGTCATTCCCGATGTTGGGTGATGTAAAAATTCCACCCCGCATGCGCAAGGAGTAGACTCCCCTCCTTGATGGACACAAATTCATTCCAACAAAACAAAAAAGACAAAAACCTTAGGCTTGACGCATGCCTTCCAAGCGTGTGCGCATCCCCTGTCCTGATCACACAGGAGATGCGGCACATGCTTTGAAAAAACACGTCAGTCACGAAAAACACGTGCAAAAAGAGACACTTCAAACATTTTTCACTAACAATTCATTTTGCCAGGTCAATACCTGCATTCAATTCTGACGGACGCAAATGCACTATCTTGCCATGGATCCGCACCTCCCGCTTTACAAAAGCTGCGGGGAAATGCGGATCCACGCCAGTTAATGCACCGGAAAATCAGCACTTCCTTTCCAAACAGCATTCAAACACTTTTTTCAAACAAAGAACTTCACCTTCCAACGACGACAGGAGAAAGATAACTTTGACATGGATCCGCACCTCCCGCTGCTCAAATATACGGGAAATGCGGATCCATGCGAGTCAATCAACCACCATTCACAATCTTCATCAAAAAACTTGTCACTCAAAACTTTTCAAACAAAAGGACTTGCAGACCACTTCAACATCGGGATGAGAGTCAACCATCTCTCAAAACAATGATGACTTCACCTCGACGCCAAAAATGACAAGTCCACAAAAAAAACACAACATGTCAATCACACTTGACAAATCCAATTTGCCGATACAGCGGTCTACGCGTGACTGCGCCCATCACCCGACAACAGGACACCTTTGTCAGTCACACCAGGGGACCACGCCCTGTGCATGACTCAAGAAATCGCGAATTCTAGAAGGTTCTTGACCCTTCTGCAAAAAACTCGACAGATGATTCACGCGAAATCATCCTCGACGCGCATCTGCGCAACACTTCAAACAAACCAGAATGTTCTGGTAACCGGCGCAAGCGCGCCGCCATCGTTCTTCCCGAGACTCCGACCAGTCGGATTGGTCTTACCTATCCTGCCACTTGGTGGCACAATAGCAAAGACCAAGGGGGGTTTTGTCACGGGTCGAACAGATGTCGCCCGCTGACACGCCGCTTTTCTCGGGACGACTAGATGTCGCCCGAGTCAGGAGTACAAACAGAAGAAGAAAAGATCGACGCAGCGTACGAAACGCCACGTCGTCTTGTCACGGGTCGAACAGATGTCGCCCGCTGACACGCCGCTTTTCTCGGGACGACTAGATGTCGCCCGAGTCAGGAGTACAAACAGAAGAAGAAAAGATCGACGCAGCGTACGAAACGCCACGTCGTCTCAATATTCCAGAAAAATAAATCCATCTTCTTCCAGAAGATGATTATATAAATTGTGCTGAATTATTGAACTTTTGGACATTTGCTGAATATATTCAAACTTGAAGTTGAGGTATTGACCTCAGGCCGCAAACGGCTGATTGTGTTATACCTTTCTTTCACTGACCATAAGTGAAGTTCATATCTTTGTCTGAGAGGCTTAACAGCCCCTGACAACATTACTAGGTCAATTTTTATTTTATTTTTTTGGGATGACAACTTCTTGAATACCAAACCTTCCTTGTAGTTCCAAAACTTATGGCTCATTTATATTTCATGTTTCATACGCCTCTCTCTTTCTCTCTCTCTGGACATATACAGTACAGTAGTAATATCTCAGTACAGTGTCAGTTCAACCTCTCTAAGTAGAATCTCTAGGGACCAGAAAAAAAATTTGACTTTGGCGAGGTTTCAACTTAGAGAGATTTTCATTTTTTGAGGTTTCCAGTTGAGCAAACAAAACACTTTTGTTGTGAGATGTAGAAAAAATGTGGGAAATCATAAATGAGGATATTCTGGAGCACACCTTGTTGAGCTTGGAGGCAGGGGTTCATTTGCTATACAGTATTTCTCTTTCAATTCCTTTCAAGATGCATCAAATTATTTGTTTAATCATTTTATCTTTCATGTTTCGAGAAAATAATGGCCAGAAGGCCTCAAAAAATTCGACTTACAGAGGTTTTATAAAAAAAGACTTTGAGTTAGGGAGGGTTTTAATGTATTGACACTAAGGGAATTCAGACAGGGACTTGAAAAAAAATTGACTGAGGGAGGAATTTGACTTAAGGAGGTTTGACTTATCAAGGTTCACCTGTATGATGAATTTGGTTGTAAGCTTTGTAACAAATTAATGCTTGGAATTATTTTTTTACTTTTCTCTGCCCCTCGTCTCCCCCCCCCCCCTATCTCTCTCTCCTTCCTCTCTCTCTTTCTCTCTCTCTCTCTCTCTCCCTCTCTCTCTGCATGTACAGTAGTATAACCTCAGTACAACGAATTCCGTATTAACAAATTAATGCTCATAAAGAAATTGTTTATTTCTGTCCCTCTTCCAAATGTTGCAGTGCTGTTTCATTCCAGGTTCAACGAATTTTCCTTCATACCTAAGCTGTTACTAAAAAGGTCTCAAATACACTTCGTTGTAACCAGATTCTACTGTCCTGTGTATATCCAACGCAGCAGACATGGGAAGCATTCCTGAAATCCAGGCAAATGCGAGCCAGGACGGGGGATGAGAGAATCCCATCGCCATCAGTGTACGTGCCCATGGCTAAACGCAAACCCGGGCGCCAGTCGAACCCAGCGGGTTCTGCAGTGTCCTGGACCCATAATCAGCCCCATCGACACAACGCTGGCCAGTCGGTCCGTGTGATGATGCCTGATGCGCCTGGCCGAGGAACCTGTTCCGGCAGCCTGGGCAGCGGTGGACTGCTTGACCCCGGTTTTGCAGCTGGCGAGGATTTGGCGCAGGTGACGCTGCTACGAAAGCGGCAACTCAGTCTCTTGCGGGTGGAGCAGGAAGACTTTGACCGCTTGTTTCTGCAACGTGCCCTGAATAATAAGGTTATTGATTGTTGACGATATATATAATCGGACTGAAACGTTGAGGGGGGGTTCTTGAGTTTAATGTCATGAATTGGCAGACGTTTATACGGTAATCTTTATTTTTAAAGCATTTGCTACTCATCTTCTAGACCAGTTTTCCCCAACCTGTGGTCTGCAGATTCACAGTGCATGTCCATAAAAGTTGTGTGCCAATCCATGGGATATTTTCTCAATCGTCATAAATTCATCACAACTAACATTCAAGAAAATTACGGTACAATAACTTTGGTATCTCCATGTGCAATTTTTGCAAGACAACTGCAGTTGAAAATCATCCAATGCAAAATAAAAGTTGACTTTTCTCATAATAACCCATTAGACAAATGTCAACCTGCTGAAATTAATCATTTAAATTTTTCATTCAGAGGAATATTTTTTTGAGCTCAACTTTCTAAATTTTTGAAAACATTCCACTGTAGCTGCTTCATTTGGTTCTTAACTCAATTTTATAGGAAAAAATAAAATGTTTCAATACCTGCCATAAAGTATTTCAGAGAAAAAATGTTTTTAGTGTGCAAAAATGTTTAAAAAAAACTTTGCCAGTTAGGCAGAACATTTTTTTAAACTTCATTTAGGTATGCAAAAAAATGCCTGAAAAGGTTGGGGAACACTTTTCTACCAACAAAAAACGTTTGCTTCTAACCACTTTCTCCTGGGCATATATGCTAAGATATAGGCAGAATGATAAAGTTATTGTGGTGTCTGCCAATTTTTTTTTGTACTGAGAAAAAGAGACCAAAAGTTACCCTCACCCTCAAAATAATTGGTTTCTTTGATTTATGACTGAATTGAATTTATGAAGAAGTAAATTGGTTTGTGTGCCATCTTCTGACAGAAAATGTGGACTATAAGGAACCTTCCAGTCAATTTATTCATTTTTTTGGTCAGAGAACACGGAGAATATAGTTTTATTGAAGACTCAGCTCTTCATCTCCATTCTTTATGCTCAATCATTGGTCTGGGCTCTGAGTATGAAAAAATTCCAGACTTCAGAGGCTTCCCAATAGAAAAGTGTTGGGCCAAAACCCCTCAGGCGGGGGATGACTGATGTAATACAGTAGCCCCCCGCCTAACAGACCTCCCATGTAAGGGATTTTTGCCAAACAGACCAGCTCTGCAAGCAGTTTTTCCTCCCGCCCAACAGACAAAATCCGCCAAACAGACTTCTTTAGGTTTAAAATTAGTGTTGAAAATTGAAATTCTTAATTTTTTATGTAATTGAATTTGTGTAAAGGACTTTTTCTCTAACAGACTCATCCCTTGCACAAATCAAGTCCGTTAGACGGGGGTTGACTGTACTGCATATGATTTTTTTTCTTTTTACCTCTTAGTGCAGTAATATGATTATTTTGGTGGTGTTGATTCGGACTGTATCGCAGTAAATCAGCCTGGTGATATTTATTTTTTCTGCGTTTTTTTTTGTTTTTGTTTTTTCATTTTGACAGAAAGCTTCGTCGTCGTCTGATGAATGCGAGCAACAGACACGAGTCGTATTCCCGCCGACATCCCGCCAACAGCATCCGCAGCAGGAAGAAGACCGGATGTGGACCCGGAAATCCGGCAGTTGTCGTCATATTCTACACACGCCGGTTGAGATGAACAAAGCAATCACTAGTGCTCGATCTGCAATGCAGAACCGTGACGCCAGTCGGACTGGCGTCAGCGACACTATCGTCGTCGACACCCGGCGACAACGTCACCCGGGATCCTACTTCATTACCCGGCGACCCTGAGGCCATATTCCACGCATTCTCTTTCAGTCTCTCTCTCTCTCCCTCGCATCCCATCCCTTTCCTTCTTTTTCTCTATTCCACTCTTTTATAAAAAACTCTCGTTCTCTCTGTAGAGATTCCTTTTTTTTTTTTTTAGTGTCTTCTTGCGGGTTCTCGTGATGGGTTTCAAAGTTGTTGAGTCTGCATTTGTAGGGAGAAATATAAAAAAAAAGTATATACGGTATATGTGAAATTTGAAAAGTGTGCGTGTCGATTATCATGCAGTGGGGGGGCCCCGAGTTGCGGACATGATTGGTTCTTGGACCATGTCCCTAGCAGATGTGTTGGAGCATCTGCTGCATGTTGGATAGAGTTTTTTTCTTGAACTTCAGTGGCAACTTTTTAATTGGTTCTCCAAAGAATTGAATTCAGGAAAGTTTTTTCCTAGAGTTACAGAAAATAACTTTGCAGAAGGAAACCATGCAAAATCTGATCTTTTGGTATTGAAAGAAGTAGAAGAAGCAAAGAACAAGAACAAGTCTTGCTATAACTGTGCATACATTATGGAAAACACTCCAAAAAAGGGTAGCACAGAATTAGCCCATTTTGACCATAAATTGGAGTAAATTTGAAATAAAAGAATTATAATTTTTTGAAAATATATACTGTACATAGCTTAATTTGTTCAAAAGATACACAAATTTTGAACATTGAAAATGTTTCCATTGTTTGAATGTGTTGGAAAAATGTGTATGTCTCCAGACATTTCTAAAAAATTAAAGTTTTCCATTTATTAAAATATATATTTTGGAAAATTGCCCATATTTAAAGATGATGTATACATGCTGTCATGGTAGATTTTTGTGTGTGAGGAACGGAAGCAGGAGAAGTTTAGTTGAGACTGAAAATTTGTATTAGGCAAAGCTTACTGGTTTATTCTGCATCAGATTCGTTCATACTCAGAGCCCAGACCAATGATTGAGCAGAAAGCATGGAGATGAAGAACTGAGTCTTCAATGCTCATTGAAAACTATATTCTCCATGTTCTCTGACCTAAAAAATGAATAAATTGACTAGAAGGTTCCTTACAGTCCACATTTTCTGTCAGAAGATGGCACACAAATCAATTGACTTATTCATAGATATTCATAGATTTTATTTGGTCATAATTCAAAGAAACCAATTATCTTGATGGTGAGGGTAACTTTTGGTCTCCTTTTCTCAGTAAAAAAAAAATGGCAGACACCAGCCATTCTTGAGTGGACCCAAAATCTGTGGGAAAAAAAGTCTGACTTTGCTGCTCAAGGGTTAATGCATTTAATTCAATCATAATTCAAGGCAGGGAATTCTGCTGATTTGTGTGTGTGCGGGGGGGGGGGGGGGGGGGGTTT